GTTCTCCGAAATATAGCAGGAGTCCTGTTATATCTTCACACCCACCAGCAAAACTACAGATTTATGCCGCGCAAACAGACACACACACTGTACGCGCGCCTCTGGCAAATTATCCACCTACAACAGCCTTTGCAATAGAGTGCCATGGGTTAACACACCGTTGCTATGAGCCCGTCTTTTGATGTGAGCTGCTCAATGTGTGTGAGCCGAGACAGAGGTAAGATAAGGGGGTCAAATACTGAGAGGGGAGAGAGAAATTTAAAGACAAAGTGGGAGATACATTGAGGGAGGTGTTTGTCTCACAGGACAGAACTGGAGGGAAGGTGAAGAGTATAGAAGCTTGCAACACAGCTACACGGTGAATAAGGCAGGTTTTTGCTCATGGCATAAACAACACCCATGAAGGGGCGGAGGAATTATGTTGTACAGTAAGTACAAATGGACTGGAAAGGAGCTCATCCAATGTAAGCCCCATTTTAATGCACATAAATCTGTTTTTTTGACCAGAACAGGGCAGATATTAATATGTTGAATATGCAACAGTTTTCTAAATTCCACACTGTGACCTTTTTTTTTTTTTTTAATATTCTGTTATTACAGGGACATTAACATGTCATTACTGAGTCATAGACGCCTGGACAGTAAATACTGCTGCTGCTGTGCAAAGTAACATGAATGAAAGAGAAAGAACAATTTTACTACAGCTGAGGCTTTAAGCAGTCACATATAAGCATGAACATCTGGGGCTGCTTAGCCATTTGGTATTTTCTTAGTGTTTGTTGTACTGTGCATTCATCCCTGCCTAATATCCTCAGATAATATTTTATGATGTTTGATCCCCGATAGCCTGACATCGGTACAGCTTGTGAAGCAAATAAAGTTGAACTACCTTCAGGAAACCAGGAGGAGAGACAAAAAGGAAGCGATCTTGCATTATATATTGAATGAATTCTCTTTTTTTGTTTTGCTTCTGCTGTTCTTCCTCCTCCTCCTCCTCCTCTCTTCAGTTCCCTTTCTCTGGCCTTATCATTCATTCTGCTTGTATTACGGGGCTCGCCGTGTCCACGCTGTTTCAAGGAAAAATCCAAAGCCAAAGGCGAGACCCATGCTGCGCTCTGTGTCTCTGCAGGATTGACTCGGGGTGCCTTCTGATAAACCTTTAATTCCCTCGTGGGTCTGTTTTTGTATCCTTCCAAAGATTTGCGGGGAGCTTGTTTTACTTGGTTTAATTTCCTCAGAACAAAGCTCATCTGATCTTCCCACCCAGACTTGTGTGTGGCATTAAGTCTTCATTTTCATTAATGTTGGAGGGGCAGCACGGGAATCTCATTTTAATTTGACATTTAAACATCTGTTTTCAATTTCCTGAGGAAAAGACTGCCTGTGTGTGTGTGTGTGTGAGTGTGTGAGTGCATGTGTGTGTGCGAATGTGTGGGTGCACAGAGGGATAGCTTGTTGGGGTGATGAACCTGTGAGTTTTCAAAGCTGAGTGCGGCCATCTCAGCTGACCTTTAAGGCAGGGTTTGGATGTAAGAAATGATGGCAGCTAATTACATCAGCGCGGCTCCAGTTTGCTACTGTGGACCTGAGGAGCAGTGCACTACACGGTACAGGAGAGTGTGGTTAGACGGGGTTTGGCAGAGCCCAACAGATGTGTGCCACTACAAACCAAACCTCTGCTTCAGTAGACTTGGTTGTGTTGTGCACAGTCAGCGAGGCCTGTCCGCTAGATGAGATAGTATGTGTTTTGCTCTTACGCCACTGAAAAGAAGAAATGCAGAATAGATCCCTTTACCTTGACAAAGCAAACTGATATCTGTCCAGGTCCGGATATCCTCTCTGTTCCATCCCATCATCAGCATATTTGAGCAAATCCAGGGACGGACAAAAAGGCGTCTTCATGCTGGGACCTGTGACTTTGGCCCATTTCCACATATTAAGCTACAAACTGAAAATCTCTCTGTACACACACACATACACACACACACACACACACGTTGAGTTTGGCCTCCCTGTTAATAGCCCAGGAAATATTATCTGCTAGGGGACAGCTGCAGGCTCACTAGAGAGACAGAATGGTAGAGTAGGCTCATTATCCCAAACACAGATACAGACCACACCACCACACACACACTTTCAGGACAACACAGTGTGAGAGCCTCCCTCGCAATTTTTTTTTTTTTTTAAACCAATTCTGGGTCCCAGAGCAGCAACAGTAAGGGCGAGCCGGGCCTTATGCAGTATGCATACAGGACGGAGCAGCGCTGGATGCCTTATTTAAACCGAGGGGGCCAGAGGCAACCGCCACAGCTCTGCATCTGACAGGGCTTCTGGCGAAAGAGTCGGGGCTTTGTACCCCATCCAGATCTCGGCCTGCCGGTCTGTCTGTCTGTCTGTCTGGCTGCCTCCGTCTCCCTCTTCCTCACTCTGCCTCCATCCCAGAGGATTTTGTTTTCCACTACGCAGATGTTCAGGGCTGTCTGCTGCGCTGCACTCAGCTGTGTTTATAACAAAGAGGTGTTGGGTTGGAGGAGGAGAGAGGGCAGCGAGGTGGGGGGAGTGAGTGCTGTTGAGGAGGGGTGGAGGTCACAGCGCTGTTGGTATAAACACTGAATGATGCCAGCTCTCCCGCGGGCCTCCAACAAGTCAATACAGCATCTCTCTCTCTTTTTTTTTTTCAAAGTCTTTTCCTCTTCACATATCCCTTTTTCATTTCCAGAGGGACAGATGCATATGAATGTTAGCTGAAAGAGTTACAGTGAGGCCAGCAGGGGAGGCAGAGACCCACTGAGAGGAAACGACGTGCAATTAATGTCCCAGTTAAAGTAACTGAGCTCGCTCAACCAAGCATTAATTATAGGTTCTGTATTAGCCACGAAGGAGAAATAGAAAACTCTTTATTTTTGATTACTTAATAGCGCGTGCTTTTGACTAACATGACGCTCATTGTCTCCAAATTTCTACATGTTACCAGGTGTAGAAATAATAACACAGATGTCCAAACATTTTTTAAAAAGCAGCAATTTTGGTTATTATCTGAGCCACGGCTGACAACAACATCTCCCTTCAATGTTTGGCTCACCTTGAAGCTCCAGGCTGACTTCTACAATAACCCTGTTCAGAGCACGTTGGCTTTGCGGATACAAATGGAGACAGAGTTTCTTCAGATGCGGCTCGGGCTCTAATGGATCGGATGTTTGGTGTTTACATTTAAATTCCTGGACGACTAGATCTGCTTTTAAAGCGCACAAAGTGAACTCACCGCACAGCTGCACAGCCGCCGACTTTGAGACGGATCAGAGGGAGTTCGGAAAGCGAAGGGGGTCACACACGTAACTGCTTTTGTGTGCAGCACACTGTGAGGATATCTGCGCCTCCTCCTCAACGGTGGCAGCAGAATATGAGTCACAAAAGGACTCTTTTTGCTTTGCCTTTGATAAATACTGTCCGATGCTGAAGCTGTGCCGAGAGACTGGGGAGGACATTACAGCCCATCTTCCTCTAAAACAACCGCTTTTTGGATTGAAAACTCGACTTTACAAGAAGCAGAGAGCTGCATCTGGGTTTGCCAATGACTAATTAAGTGCTTAAAGGGTTTAGCCAGGAATTTGTAGGCTGTCAGTAGGTGAGGGGTCCTTCGGCGAGCTCCACTTTGATCTGTGACTGAGGTGACTTGAGAGCGAGCTGAGGAGCGTGAGACAATAGACTGCAAAAGCTCACTTTTATCCCCAAAACACACACAAAATAAATCACAATTACTTTACCATACATGCAAAAAAAAAAAAAAAATAGCAATGCATTTGTTCAAACTGTGCTGACCTTGCATACTCCGTGTGTGGCCTGAATTTCAGAATACAAGCCCTGTTTTCATATGTTTTCTATGTATATGCAGTGGAGCTGGGAAAATGATTACTGGCACACTGTCTGCAGAAGAGGAGCTTGTTGCTTTTTCATTACTTTCTTCCCCTCTCAATAAACCTCCAGTTTATCTTTAACGCTGCAGATATGGAGTGCAGTGATACGCTGCTCCTCCTCTGCCCCCTCACAAGGTGCTCATGCATTGATCTGCTTTGTTGCAGCTGCCGGTTAGTAATGATATTAATGTGATATTCTGATAAGGCGGCCGGGCGAAGACTAATGATTTTAGGTGAGGCTGGATTTGTAATTTTGCGTTCAGCTCAATATGAAAATCCGAATTGCTCCGTTCATCTTTTCACATTTCTTCAGTATCAAATTTGTATCAACAAATTCGACCTAAAAAAAAAATGAGAAGCCGCGGAACTCTTGTAGCCCGCTAATGAAAATCTATGGCTGTGTCATCGTTTTTAAAGCACGTCCAGCGGGGGAAATCAATGCAAATAAGAATCATATCCTACCAAAGTCCTTACCAGGAGGGGAATGGTAGATTGGATCTAATGTAGATTTTTATCCATGTCAAGGCAGAGCGGGCGTGTGAGCGGAGGGGATGTAAATATGGAGTGTCAGCGAGAGATGAGGAAGTGATGATGGAGAGGTGATGATCGGCCTGTACTGGCAAGTGTGTGTGTGCGTGACTATATGTAGGTCTGTGTGGTTCAGTCAACAAAAAGGAAGGTCATCGCTGTTAGAGATGCTGGTGGCCACAAATATGTGCTCCTCATTGTAGCTGTAAAGCGTATTGACAGTAAGGTCATGTGGGAGAAAGCAGGTCATTAAAAACTGAAGCTGTATATGTGTAGTATGTGCAGTAGCCTTCACCGTACATGTGTTTTTCATTCTGCCAATACTGTACCCTGAATCGTGTAGCGATATGTTAGCAGCATTTTGTCATCCATGCGCAACTAATTATGTGTGTTAAAACACCTTGACTGCTGTTTTACTAGCTTCAGCTGTAATAATGTCGCAACAGCTTTAGGTGTTTTTGCTTTTTTTTGTTAACAGTGAAATCATCTGCTTCTTTAACTAAGGACGTGTTGACATGTAGTGAATTTTTCCTTTTTCCTCTTTCTGTTTTCTCGTAGTTCTACGCGACGACTTCAGACAAAACCCTGCAGATGTGATTGTGGCAGCAGGAGAGCCGGCCGTCCTGGAGTGTCAGCCTCCGCGTGGACATCCTGAACCCACCATATCATGGAAAAAAGATGGAACCAACATCGACGACAGAGACGAAAGGATCACTGTAAGTATCCTGTTCTCGGTAAACAAATTAAAATTGTTAATGCCGACATGTAATCTAAGCATGTTTAAAGTTTGTTTCGTATATGAGGATGACAAGTTTAAATGTGTCTGATGGAATGACCCAGTGATGCAGGTCAAGTCATTACCACCACTTCAGAGTTTGCTGAAAGATTGATCTGTTTGGCTCATTATCCACACATAGCCATTCCCAAACCCAAAACAGCCCACTCTGGTGGCTACAGCCCTTAATAACTGAGGTATAGAATTAGTCTTGCTCCATTAGTCAGCAGCAGTGCATTGATTAGGGACGGCCTGCTGATGAAATCAATCAGGACGAGCGTGGATCAGAAGGGAGGAATGAGCTGACCAGAATCAAAGAGGAGAAAGCTGGACTCAGCAGCAAGCAGCGGCTGCAGAATCTGGACAACTATCCACTTTTGATTTACACCGAACCCACCAATTATTCAGCTTTAATTAAAAGAGCAGCACGGCCAGCACGACAGTATCAATCAGCTCTACGTGCTTGCTTACTAAAGATACGTCTTGAATAATCATGGCTCACACTGCTTCAACCAAACGCAACTGTGTGTCTGTGGCAGTCTTTCTTGAGCTGGAAGAGACTTTTAGTTGTGTTTTATTATTTGGGTTGAATGTGTGCATCATGTCAGGCTCTGACAGGATTCTGATAATCGGAGGAGAAATCTTTGACCTAACCTGATGTTCAGCCCAGATTATTTGGTAATATTACAGGTCCAGTCGGAAGTCTTCTAATCTGCTCATAGGTTCATCCTTGAGGCGTGCAGTAGGAAGCATACAAATAAACTCCTCAACCATTTTCCCTTCAAGACTTGTCATTTAGCTGTCTGGTTTTGTTTTGTTTTTTTTCTCAATACAATGTCTTATTAGCATCACACCGAGCTGTTGCAACAGTCTCCCTTTTGTTTACATCTGTTTTCCCGTGAGATCACATAAAGTGCTGCATTGCTTCCTGATTGCTTCCTCTGGCACAATAATCTCAACAATATCCTCTAGTGTGTGGTGTGCCACTATTTTAAAATGTTGTATTGTCTGCATGTCTGAGACGAGAGAGAAAAATATCTTAAGTTTCTCCTCGTGTGTGTGATGCAACCAGACTTCAAAATCTGTCACGACTTTAGAACTCATGTAATCTGAGCCTGAGCATAAGGGAAGTCAATGTTCTCACTGAGCACTCGCTAACACCAGCAGCTAGTGAGCAGGAAGTAGTTAGCTGTGGGTCTGGATCACATTTGACCAGTCTGACATGTGAAGTTTCAAGGTTCTGCCTGCACGCTGTGTAATGGTTGAGCAGTGAAATGCTTTGGCCCGCCAAGTGCTGACGATGTTCGAACTTCACGTTGCAGTCATGGAAAGTGAAATCTTGACCAGATAATAAATATAAGGTACTAATAAAGATGTTTCGCTCTGTATGCCAGTAGCATAGTGGTGGAAACCAGCCTGGGCGAGTTGTGCAAAGTACGTTTTCATTTCTGGGCAAGTCAGAACACTGATTTATCACCGGTGGTTGACTTCACCAGAGAACTGAAAACACAGTTTTGCACAGTGAAGGCCAATAGAGGTTGGACACATCAAGAATTTAATGCAATTCAAACTCAACACGGCAACTATTCTGTCTCTGTTTTCTTCTAAGCTGCAGAGGCAGAAGATTAAGAGTCCGTGTCTGGGCGCTGAGCAGCATAATTGAAAGAAACAAGCGAATAATCTACTTTAATGAGAATTAAATCATATCTGTCCCTGAGTTAAGTCAGTCACTGATAAGCATGACAACACATGGTGAACTCTTGTTGACTGCAGGAATTTACAGTCTCATGTGATACTGACACATTCATATCATGCCTATAAGTTCTATGTATGCACAACAGCCACATACGTGTGCACAGAGCAAAATGCGCCGTCCTATTCTCTCATAAACTGACATCAGAACTATTCATGTTGGGTCATTTCATCATTTGTTATTTACACTTTTAGTTTTGTTCATCACCTCGTGACAAACTACTTCATGCTGTTAACTGTTAAGGATTAAGGACAAAGCACTCTGAAGGCAAAGCAGTCCTGTTTCATCGCCGCGCAATGCATCGCTTCTTAACCCATGTCCTTTGCCATAATAACACTTCCCGCTCTAAACACAACACAGACACACTCTGTTTCTGCTGTATATAAATTATTTCTGGAATGCACTTATGCCACCTCTTTCACGGAGGAAGTGTGGACTTATTCTCACTGTTGTATATGTGATTTTTGTGCGCTGATGGGTGAAATCCTTTGAGTAAACGCTGTGAATACTGCCGCTGTAGCACAGGCTAAATGACTCAGAGCTGCGTCCTTGTAGCCTGCAGCACTGTTGGGCCTTCTGTGGAACTGAAACAGAGTTTGGACCAGCTGGTGTTGCTCACTGTAAACTTCCTGTCAAGCACAAAACCTCACAGACTGAGTGTTCCCAAATGACCACTTTAAAAGTAGTGCTAGACGTCATGTACGACCACCTAAATATGTGTAATCAACTGTGGAGACAGATGGGAGTCTGAACAGTGTCCTGTGGAAAAATGACCGCAGATCAAGTTGTATTAGAAATAGGACAATCACAGGGCGTTGTCCAGAATTTGTTTATGGTCCAGTAAATTTCTTCTGAGTGAATATAGGACTGTAAAGGGGGAAGCAAATCTTTTTAATGTGATGAACAGCTGAGCTCGTCAAAGGTCCCCCCCTCCATCCAGACGGCATCGTTATGTTTGGTCCATTTCTTCTACCGTGCGACATGCTGGAACGTGCAGTCTCCTTGGTGATCTCTGGTGATCAGAGCAAGGTCCCAAACCACCTGCAGTGGGGATTTTCTCTCCACACTGCACGTTACTGGCATGCGATGGTTTGGATTTTCTGGACACGGCATTAAAAAGAAGGGAGCAAACTTCAGAGGGAAAGAAATATTAAAGTCAACTCTTGTGTTTTTCTGTCTATTTTAGTCAGCTGTGTGTAAACACCAATGGCCTGCTGTGTGCCCTGTCGCATATATTCATGACTTCATGTGGGGCATTTGTAAAAGGTTTCCCACAGAGCCATAAAAAGTGAGGTTGGTCTGTAATGCTGGTGTGCTGCTAGCAGCAGCTGGCCACGTTCCTCCCAACTTTGTCCAACTGGTCTTTCAGGGACAATGAGGGAAGGATAAATAAACAGAAAAAGGAAAAAAAAAAATCCCAGTATTTAAGCCCAGACCATTGTCTGCTTGGAGCAAGAGTCTGTCTGCAGCATCATAAATGGCTAAAATGCAGCACATTGTCCTTCCTCTTTTGTGCAGTAGTTGTGGCTAATTATCAGCCTGGAAAATGAACTGCTGTGTGAATACCAACAGAGTTGGTGTTGAATGGAGGCTTTTGCATTATCAGCATTGCCAAATGACACGAGACAAAAGGCAACAGGATAGAGCCATCTCCCTGTAATGCAGGGATAATGGTCAGATTGTTGGGGCTTTCAGCAGCCTGTGCACTGCACTGTGTTGTGTTGAGAGGATATGCATGCAGAGAAAAAGAGGACCGCTGCTGCATTCATTTACTTTAGCCAGCTCTCAGAGTCCCTGCTGCTCTGGCACTCCAAATATGCCTGTGGAGAATGGGAAACTGCTACAGAAACACAGTGGTAGGAATATGGATGGAGTGGACGGGGCCTTAAATGGATCCTCATGTCAAAGCCCTGTGGAACCAACAGTGCACCCCCCTCTTTCTCTGCTGCATGGTCTGCCCTGACCTTGGGCCTTTGTGAGTGTCACAGTGTTTTAGCTGTTAAGCCTTTCTTCAAACAAACAGTAACATAATGATACTTCAAACCCCTCCAGCACCACAGGGTGCCCTAAATAAACCAGCCTTCCACAGCCTCTTCAAGTCCCTCTGCCTCCTGCTTTACCATGAATATTAAACAGGAGTGAAGGGCTGAGGAATGCCTCAGAACCTAAAGAATGTGCCCGTTGTCCAAGTTGTCCTTGAAGAATCTTAAGACTTACCCAGGCCACTTCATAAAAACTGATGAAAACGTACTGTATGAGAACGTGAAGTGCAGTGATGTAGATTAACGGAGACATCGTGGCATGCAAGCCAACACACGTGTAAGAGGGATTAACATGGTAGTCATGGGTAAAGCAGATTTTTGCAATATTGTGTGTCAAGTTCTCTGTCAGTGGCTCTCTAATGAGGGTATCGATTACATGCTTGCAGGGGGTGGTCCTGGTCTTGCAGGCTCATGTGTGCATTTAAAACCTTGAGCTCTATCAAGGCACAGAGATCACCGGTGCAGCGTACTATTGTCTGCGTCGGTGCTGACTGGCATGGCTGTCAGCTGAGAGCAGGGCTGAGAGGCCTGTGCTGGGGCCGGGGCTGCCTTTCTGACTGCCTGAGAACAAAGCATCTCCTCTGGCCTGTAATCAAAGCCCTGGGAAATAACAGACATGACATTCACCTGGACAAACACACACCTACAGCTGGGTGTGTGTGTGTGTGTGTGCACTTGAGTGTACAGTATGTTCACTTGCTCTCTCTTGTAAGCACACAGTAGGAAAAAAAAATGCACAAAACCCTCATTCCCCATTCAGTAAAAGACAGAGCTGTCGTGAAGCGCTTGGAGATGACTGGAAAAACGCTTGCAGTCCAACAGTGCCTCAGGTGTTACCTCAGGGACCTGCGGTTGTGTTGGACTGGGAAAGTGTCTCACCCTGAGGAGCAACAGACCAGCTGATAGTGATGGAAGCTGCCTGGGAGCAACACAAAACAGATAAAGTAGCCCAGTTGGTCTCAAGCTCAGAGCAAAAAAACACAATAAAACACTCTTTAGCATCAACCCATTATGTGTTCGTGCGTACATTTTATGATGCTGCTGTAATGGTGTTTTGGTACCTAAATGCTCACAGGCATTGTTGAGAACATTCAGGAAGTGTTTTGTAATGTTTGAGCTATGCTGTGTCAACTACAGGCCCCGAGTGTCTCTCAGGCTCTAATATTAATGTTTTTCTTCTCCGTGTTTAGCCTTCTCACCTCTTTTTTTTTTTTGTAATTCTTTCAGATACGTGGAGGGAAGCTAATGATCACAAATGCCCGGAAGACCGATGCTGGGAAGTACGTGTGCGTCGGCACAAACATGGTTGGAGAACGTGAAAGCGAAATAGCAGAGCTGACAGTGCTCGGTAATTAACCCTTTCTTTTCTCTCATTGAGTACCTCAATCTGTCGTCTCACAGGCGACCTCATAGACATGCACAAACACGTTTTTGCCGTTTGTCTGCAGTAAAAAACAGGATCCAGATGTTAAGCTTCGATCGTCTATCTCCCAGGGTACTAAATGGTGCCGGTGACCTTTATCAGATAGAGTGTGAGATGACCTCCATTCTCACACCAAACTATGAATCTCAGGTTCTCTCCAGCAGCTTCTCAGCCAGCTGCACCCTATTTCACCGTGGCTGACCTCCGACCCCTAATACTCTCCCGTGTCCCCAGCAGGGAGCACGTCCAGACTCCTGATGTTTTCGATTCCTTTAGCGCCTCTCCTCAGAGACGTCTTATAACCTGTCAGGAAGAAAGACAACAAAGCCCATTTCATCAAGATAAATAATTAAACTGAAATAAATCAAGAACAAATAAGGAAAACCGTCTGAGTGAGTGTCATAACCCAGAAACCCTGGTTAATTATAAACCATGCTGGTTAGTCGTCAGGGCCGGTATCCCATCAGATGGAATGTGTCCAGAGAGGCTGAGAGCTATGATTTTTGTTTTAGCCTTCGTGAAAATAAAAAGCAACAGATTTGGGTTTGGGGGACCTCTGAGATTCAGAGGACTTCAGGGTGAGAAGGTTAACAAGATGACAAAGCTTTTCTGTGTCAGGGGTTACGCTGTGCCCTGTCATCAATTAATTTATTGTCTTGTCTTGTGTAATTAAAGCCATATCGTGTAGCACAAAGCAGTTAGTGTTTGCTGATCTGTGGGGGGTTTTTTGTGACTCATGTCTGTATTTCAGACTGCATTTTTGTGTGTCATTAACCAGAAATTAGTTTGGAAACTACATCATTATTTCACTACATTTATTTGTTTTCATTTCATGACACCTCACTTGACCTGAAACTAAATTCTTAAAACCAGACTTACTTCCAAGAAAGCATTTTTCCATTGGGTTTTATTCGATTTTCAGTTAGATTTTTAACTGTAGAGCACAAAGCCAAGATTAATTCATTGTGGGAATCGAAGCTGCTGATGTCATGACTGTAGCTTAATCAAAACAGTATTGTAGAACTGCTGTGCTCTGCGGTGTCTAATTTATGTTCGTCTCTGCAGAGCGTCCCAGCTTCGTGCGTCGCCCAGGTAGCCAGGTGGTGTTAGTGGACCAAAGTGTGGAGTTCAGGTGCGAGGCCCGTGGCGACCCAGTTCCCACTGTGCGCTGGAGGAAAGACGACGGTGACCTGCCCAAAGGAAGGTATGACTCATCGACCGGTCCCCTTTCATCAAACAATACCGTCCTCACTCACCGACTCCCTCTTTTTGTTTGATCCGCTGTTTGCTTTTGTCTGTCTTCAAATGTTTTGTGTGCTTGACAGCATGTGATACACGAGTACCTGTTTTAATCCAGGTATGAGATCCGCGAGGACCACACCCTGAAGATCCGCCGCCTGGCCTCGGCCGACGTGGGCTCCTATACCTGCGTGGCGGAGAACATGGTGGGCAAGGCGGAGGCGTCGGCCACGCTCACCGTCCACGGTAAGACCGCTACGAGTCCCAGTTTCCCACTATTCTGCAGGCCAAATATATTATTTACAGCCCCTTGGACATCTATTCCGAATTAATTTCCATTTTGGGTTATTGTGCAGCTTGATTCAAACGCAATTTAGGCCGGCCACACTGCAATTATAGCCTGCAGCTTTGGTACTACATGGTCATCACTTTCAACTATTCTCTCTCAATTAGCCGATTGATTTCTAATAAAAAGAAACGCAAGAATCCATAACAGCTGTAGAGTCGTGCACATGGGAGCTCAGCACCAATCGATTTCATTTGCCCCGTACAAGTGGCATTTCTCCGGAGGCCTGTCTTCCTTCATGTTTGGAGACATACAGTACTATTTGTGAACCTATGGAATATCTGCGCGTCTCCAGTGGCCCTCTCCATTGGATGTCTTATTAACACAGTTGGAATATAAAGCAGCCGGTCACAGAGCGTGAACATTCAGAAAGAAACCATTCAGAGGAACTGGGGGCTGGGATCACCCCAAGACCCTCTTGAGAATCAGAGGAACACAGGGGCCATTTAACGGCAAACTAATGGGAATGTTGGGAGTCGGTGAGACAAGAAGGAGGGGGGAGGAGGAGAAGGAAGCCTGGTGCACAGAGGATGAGGATTGGATGGAGGGATAGTGAGTATGTTGAGGTGGCTCACTACTGGTGCATAACGGGTTGAGAATTGAGTCTGGGGGCGATTGTGGTGAAGAGGATAGAAGGGGACAGAGGGGGAGAGAGATTTCAGTGGTGAGGTCAGTCATATTAATGTCACTACCAGCAGTCTGCACAGCGGAGATTTAAAGAGACAAGGCAATTTTTTTTTCCTGCCAACCCCCACCTGCAAATACAGATACTTCATCTTCACATGGCTACCCTTTACAATTACTTCTTGCTTTCCTCCACAAGACAGCAATCTTGCAATTGGTTTGAGGAGCAAAGATTAGGCGCACCTGTCAATACGGCCATCAATATATCCACCTCACTTATTGCCTTTTTTCCTTCTTTCTGTCTCCCTGATGAAAGCTTAGTTAATGAAAGGGAACAGCATTGATGCACTGGTTCAATAAGCTGTTCTCCTGACTTAGAATCATATTTGAAATGCTAAAACCTTCCCTGTCCTCAGTGGAAATTAAATGTCTTAACCTCAGGCCATCCCCTGCTGCCTGCACGCAGAGAAGCAAGGCGCTGACCCTCTTTTCATACATTATGCCTCCCAATCCTCCATGTCATAAGACTTAGAGAGGCATGAAAACAGAAGTAAAAACACTTCAAGACACAACGCAAAGCAAAGAAGAAACCCTGCCACAGATTTGAATGACAAATGCAGATTTTAAAAAAAAGAATTTAAAAAGTGTAAATCAGGTGAAAGGGATAATGGTATATGAATCCTGTGAATTCTTTTCCTATTGGCACATTATAAACCTTGAAGCTCTGAAAATTCCTAGAACCATTTCTACTTCTCAGATCCCCAAAGCTTCATCCAGACCAGGACATGAGGAGGCCAGCGAGGCTGTGGGCACTGAGTAGTCCAGCTAATTAAAGAGAAGCCGGCCACAGTCCCACGCCCGGAAATGACATGCTTCTAATTACAGATGCGGGCATAGGAATGGAAAGAAAAGCCGGGTAATTGTAGGTCTGAGCGGGCCAAAGTAGAAGAAACGATGTATAGGTAGCAAGATGTCGCTGTAGTAGTGAAGACAACAGTAATGTGGGGGGCAGAAGTTTAGTCTGTGGGTTCAGTGGGCATCGCCGTCGCCCTGCATCGAAACCCAAAGTAGGGCAGTAGATTGCCGAGCCGCTGCGTAAGAATAACTGAGCAGCTGAATTAAATAATTTCAGCGGTAGAGAAGCACTGGCAGAGAGAGCGACGCCACAAAATGGGTTATCTGACATTTAAGGCCGAAGTGGAATTAATGCATCTTTGCGCTTAAGTTTTTCTCCTAAATGTGCTGTGATGTGTAAATGAACGATAAAACCAATTTAATTAAAACTGGGCTTTAAAAAAAAAGTGGGTTAAATACAGAAGCCTACAGTTACATTATGCGGTTTCTTTATCAGTGCATTAAATTTGGGGGGGAAATGACATTAGAAACATCACGCAATATTGAAGATGTTGGCCTTCAAAGCCAATCTCCTTTGAGAGCGGGGACAGTTTATGAGAAGAATCCCGCTCTGTGTGGACTTGGGGGGGATTTTCACGCCATCCACGGTCAGTGAACAATGTCGACACTGTGGAAGTGGCGCCTCGGGCTGTTTTTCTTTCAATGTGCTCTGCTCTCGTTACCAACTTAATCAGTGAATTATTGTCGTACACGCGTGTTTGTCAGTCTACTACACCTCCTCTGGACTTATAAATGTGTCAAGTAAAATATTGAATTGATTGATGGAAGAAGCACATAATTGGAAAAGTCACTGGTGCTATTTATAGTTTGGTTGTAAAAGAGTTAATCTAAACCACATGAGAATGTAGGAGTGAGATCTAGCTAACAAACTAGCGTCACATAGGTCCGTAAGATCTAGGAATTAGACATTTTGATGTGGGTCTGGTGTGGATAGATAATGTAGATACAACGTTTTGTTATTTAAACTTCGCCAGGAGATTTCTTGGACTCCATTGGATAGAATTCAGAAAATCAGCGTGTTATTTTTCCTCAGCTGGTTAAGTTTGCCATTAGCACTGATTTATGTGTAGAAAGGTCTTGAATGGAATGGTTTTTCCCCAGAGCAGCGTTGCTAATAACCCATGTAAAGGGTCTGGAAGGAGACTTGGAACTGGTGCCAAAAAAAGAGTAAATGAGAGGAACTTTCTTGTCAGCAGTGTGTGTGCTGTTAGAGTGATGATAAATACCATAGAAGCTGGTCGGGTATAGAAGTGGTGTTTTGTCTCTCTATCTCTGCATCTCTGCGTTAATTTGTCTTAATCATCTAATGGAGCCTGAGACAAACCACACTTCTGATCAGAATCTCAGGGACAAAGGAGAAGGAGAGCCACATTTATCCTACAGACGTCCCAATGGGAGCTGCTACTGATGATGCCAGATCCATTAATTCCCTCTCCTGTACCGATGATAGGCCCGCTGCTCTTTGGTTCGTAGCCTGCCTCCTATTGGGCTGGAGGCCACAATGCTCAGTGTGCTGCTCTGATCAGCTTATTGATAGAGACTCCCCTCCACGCTGGAAGCCCACAAAAAAAAAAAAAAAGCCCACAACAAAGTAGCCAGGTCAGATTTAAGGCTCACCTCTCCCTCCAGGTCCACAACTGTGATCACAGCAGCATGGGAGAGGTCCGGTTACCTAATTAAAGGCTTAGACACACATGAATGGATGTGTGGAAGTGTTACGGGGTATTTGGGGGGTGTGTGTGCGTTCTCATGATTGTGTGTATCTAGACCCTCTCACACATGCACACGGATAGCGGCGAGCGTCTTCTTCTCCGAGTGTTTGATGTGCGTCTTATCTGCATTTTAAAGGCCAGAGATGGGCAGGGGGAGGAGGAAAAGGGGGCTGGGTCATTATTCTGACTGACAGCGTTTATGTTTCCGAGGGAGCCGTTGAGGCAGACAGATTAGATAAGGTGAGTGATTGGCCGGGGGTGGAGATTTATGGCCGGAGAGTGACAGTTAACATTCACCTTGTGTTTTTATGGAGCGGGCTTACATTTGCGAGGCTACGTCTGCGGGACTGTGATCCAGGTGCTCCTCGGGGTGCTCTAAAGCTCATTAAGGGTACAGCGATGTTCACCTTCACACGACACCCGGAGAGAGAGACGCAAAAGATAAACAAAGCATGATGTCGCTGAGCGTAGAACATCTGTCCTGTGTGTGTTTTATGCTATTATCTGTGTGCCTTTTGTGTCATTTTGTTTTGTTTACGCCAGCATTTTTTCCTGTCCTTGAACATGTCTCAAGACTAAGAAAAAAAGTTATTCTCAGTAGATGTTCTGATGTTGTGTGTTTTTACGGCATTCCAGAATCTCTTTCAGTAATTATTCTTTGCTGTGGTCCCCAGGTGAAATATGCCATGTCTTTTATTCACAGAATAATAGTAACATGATTATTTGTGCCCACGGACATCACACTGTTATTTTTCCTTATCTCTCACCTTTATGTCATGCTGTTTGTTATTTATTTATTCATCTTTGGGTCTTTTGTTGTTGTGTTTTTGTTTCCTTTTTAGTCGTGTCTGGTAAGTTGAAATGTCACCCGTCACCTATTCACCGCCCTGACAGAGACAGGAAGCTGTCACAACCCCCCTCCATCCTCCTCCCATCACCTCTCCACCCTCCAATCAGCACTCGTGTTTCTGTTGTCATGGGCAACAGTGACAAAAGGACATTAATGGGTAAAAAAAAATATGCTCAGCTTGGGCCTCCAAGGTAAAGCTGCATCATTTCATTCTATTATTTTCCCCCTTTTATGCATTACCCAAAACCCCATCTTATTCATGGACAAATTATGTCTGTATTTCAAGTGACAGTTTTCAGATTGCCTTTCCTTATGTATTATACAGACCCTGTGTAAAAAAGATTAAAATGTTTCCAGAGTTGTAATATTTGAGGGCATATCCAGAGTGCTTTTGAATTGAAGGTGTAAAGTGGCCTGCCTCTCGACCTCCACATTCAGGTTGTGTGTCTTCACAGACCTATTAGACCAGTGTCAACGCGGAGCTGCATGGATGACATTGGGCTGTGTCGCCACACTTTATCTGAGATGGAATTTGTCATTAAGATGCATGGATACCGCATCCTGGTTGAGGCCTGCACTATTGGAGGGTGTCAGCATGGACAGATGGCTCAAATTTATTCCCCATTTCCATGTAAATTTTAATGGTCCATGCCCTTGCCCATGCAAATGAGGGCCATGGGAGTAACCCTTGTTTTTTCTATTCGGTACATCTATAATATGCTTGCATTTTGAATTTGATCAGCGTCCTGTTTAATCTGCTGTGCACACACCCTGCAAAGTTTGGCAAGAAAGCCTGATTCCTTAAGAGCAACTTTGCATACAAGCACAGTAGCTGCAGATAGATTGCTTTTGTCTTACATTCTAGTATCCCACACCACTTGTAACTGTAATATTATGGTGACAAAATAATATACTATGACATGTTTGTTTCTATTCAATGGCTAACCATTCTCATGGCTGTCCTCCAGTGCCCCCAGCATTTGTGGTAAGACCAAGGAACCAGGTGGTTGGAGTTGGCAGAACCGTCACACTCCAGTGTGAAGCTACTGGGAACCCACAACCAGCCATTTTCTGGCAACGGGAAGGCAGTCAGGTAAATCAAACTGCAATGAAGGTTTTGGAGGGTGTGCTAGCATTCATGCTAGTTCATTCCAAGAGCTGGAAAGAACTGTTTTTAGGCATAGTTCCCTTGATAGCTGGAAACTCATGACAAATGCTTGCATGGATATTAGGGCTGCACAGTTTCAGGAAAAAAATGACTTTGCAATATTTCGTTTTTCTGCAATATGAAAAAAAAAATCATCAGTAAATACAGCACAAGTGTAGCAAACCATCTGCTGAATGTAGTCTGTGGCCAAAGCACTGCAGCCTTGATGTCTCTCATCGAGGCTCCAGAAGCCAACAGTGCTGTCATCCCTGCTGCGATGTTCCCACTTGTATGATTAACCTGGAAAAATGTACTTTGCAAACTTTTCAGTCCTGAGTCATCATTAATAAAGTCAGTCAGACTAATGTAGAGCTTCACTGTCTGGCTGGATCATAAATCCACTGTAGCTGCATGATATTCCACTTGTGGCAGTTCTGTTTCAACTTTCACTTTTCATTCAGCTGTGGGATGACAAACTCCACAAGAACAGGTGTGTGGTGGTATTATGAACCACTTGGCAAGCGGCTGAATCGTGTTTTTAAAACACACTTTGGTAATAGTGATGGTTGGTTTTGTTTTTTTTGTTTTTTTGTGAGATGAAACGTTATCCGTGATTTCTCTCTGGCGTTTGGAACCTTTCTCATACCGAGTAACACTGCCAAAGACATCCAAAAGAGTTTTTGTTTTTGTTTGTCTTTGGATGTCATTCAGATCTGTCTTTGCACTCACCATCCAGAGCTTTGTGGTGCTGGTTAAAATGACCAAACAAATTAGTCATGTTGCCTTGTGTAGTGGCTTCATTTGCTGCCAACACAGTACCTGTTTTCGGTCAACATCATCCGTTCTGTAGCCACAATATTTCCACTCAACTGAACTTGCATTTCTTTTTTCAATTAAGTCTTCCTTTTTGGTGTTTTTCTCTAATGTTCCTCGCTTATTTCGTAGTGCATCAAACTCGGTCTTTTAAGTAAAGTTGAGAAAAACTCTAAAATCATAGTAAATTAAAGTAGTCAAAGTTTGTATGAGACTTTTCTTGTAGATTCGTCAGTTTTCTTTTCGTGTCAAGCAGAAAATAAAAGTTGTGAAATGATGGGTTAAGGTTGCCACAGTTGCATTGCACATCACAAGGACGAGGCTGAGGCGATACGTTGCCCTGATGTAGACGCCATTTTTTCAAAAGAAATCTTCAACCTCTTCAACTCACTTCTGCTTGCCCTCCTTACAGAACCTGCTGTTCTCCTACCAACCTCCTCAACCCTCCAGCCGACTGTCTGTGTCTCAGACTGGCGACCTGACCATCACTGATGCCGAACGCTCAGACATGGGATACTACAGCTGCCAGGCCCTCAACATAGCCGGCAGCGTGATCACCAAGGCTCTGCTCGAGGTCACCGATGGTAGGCAGCTTTGCTTTCAACACAGTTTCTGCAGACAGCAAAAGCCTCAGAGAGAATTAGGAACACTGAAAGAGAACTTGAGTGGATAAATATTGGTATTTCAGATAATCTTTGGCTCCTGACGATAATGCTGTTCATCTGTAATACTGTGGTTGTGCTGCAGAGCATATTAATATCCGAACTGAGGTTTGTGAGGTTTGGTCTGGCCAGTTCAATGTGTTCCTGTCAGAGGTAGAGACTCTCTGGTGCCTGTGCACCCAGACCGTGGCTCAGTATTTGGCTTCTCTAGCTTCACACTGGCTAATGTCTCCTTCGGTATTCCACGGCTGGCTTGCTGCTGTCTACCATTGGAAGACTGTGGCTGTGTGGTGAGGTCTGGATTGGGTCCTCTAATTACTCTGCTAGCCAATCTCTTTCAGCCTGGTACACTAACCTTGGCTTCACTTCCACCGTTCCCACAGTGATCTGGGCAGCCATTACTTTGTCTATGACACACCTAGATTCATCCCTTCATTTACCAAATGTCCTTCTTCATTTAAAGCCTACAATGGTATGCTCCATCTCTCCCTCCTCTTCTCTTTCTCATTCTGTCGTGCTCTCCGGATAATAATAACAGTTATTAAAGTGAGCAGGCCGCTTTGAGGCCACTACTTCTCCACAGGCAGATCTGGTAATTACAGGTCATGCTGACAATGTTTTAGTAATTGTACCATCGGCGGCACAAAAGCAAAGACAAAGCGGCCCACAGATTACACCGCAGCGTGGCTCTGAAGATCTACGCGCACACACATACTTCATTATGTGTTGCCTTTACATTGTGTTAGATATTAATTTGAGTCCCCCCTCACTGAATGTAAGTAGCTAGTAAATCAGTGGGGCTGACAGCAATGGTCATCAATAGTGCAATGAATAATAATAATAATCAGAAGGAGGCAGACAACCTATAGTTGGAACATGATGAATCGCACACAGTGGGGACTAAATAAAAATGAAAAATATCTCCTTTTGCCTCGTCTTCTGCTGTTTTCTCCTCATTGCAACCTTTCTCTTTGTGTCAGCCTCATGCTTTCTCTCCCTGACTTTGTTTTTGTGTCTACTGGTTGAACACCCAGAGTTCACAGGCTGTGAGGCAGGGAGGAGTTTAAACATCCTCATGCTAATGACATTGTCTGTTCTGGCTAGATGTTTTTCAAGCTTTTTTTTTTTTCTTGTTTGGTGTTTTATGGTTGTGTGGGGATGCAGGGAATTGTTGGCTGCAAACGTCCTTATGCATACTGCTAGGCGTCTGCTAGATCCGCAGCGAGAGGACTTAAGTATCTGACGCCGTTTCATTTTAATTACGTTGTTTTTATTTGTTCGACTCCTGCTGCTGAATGATTAGAAAATTGCTTCCAGTTCTTAAAATTGGATTTAATTTCACTCCTACTACCCTTGCAGTTTTCACATGCTTACATTGCTGCACGCTGTTCGCCCAATTCTCACCATTCTATACCTTTTATGTGTTTTCTCCCACAAGCTGGAGGTAATTGTCTGAGCGCTGTGTTCCCTCTCGCCCTGCTGCACCACATGAACACCTTCGGAGTTTTTGCCTTTTCACCCCCTCACATAATTGCCCGCTCTCCTTCCTCCTTTCCACAGTCGTGTCAGACCGCCCGCCGCCAGTTATCCGACAGGGCCCGACCAACCAGACGGTGGCTGTGGACGGTACGGTCGTCCTCAACTGTGTGACATCTGGTAACCCCACTCCCACCATCCTGTGGAGGAAGGATGGTGTCTTAGTGTCCACGCATGACTCCAGGGTCAAACAGCTGGACACGGGTGCACTGCAGATACGCTATGCAAAGGTAGGACACCTGAAAACATGTACAAACAGGTTCAGAGCTCTTTTTAAACATCAGGCAATGTAAATGTACAATGCAGGACCCAACACTTTGACTACAAATGTGTTAGCTTACCTTGCATTTATTTCCCTCTCTATATATAAATTCTAATCAATATGTTCTATTAGGCTGCCTTTAATGTTTAAATCCATTCAAATAAACTTCAAAGTTGTCCATATCACATCCATAATGCGCTTGGCAAACCCCTGCTGGTTGGTAAATAAAGCATGTGTTCCTGCCAGCAACCAGCCCTCAGTGGGCTGTCAGTCAGTTGTCGCGGGTTTGAAACGGAGTCTGTGAAGTTGAACAGTCTGTAGTTCCTGTCAGTCAGCAGGCACAGTGGGTTTTGTGTGTTATTCCGTGTGTGTGTGTGTGCGACGCCAAGCTGTGTTATGCCGAACACACTCGTAGGGAGAGACAAGTAGGGGGTGCTGACGTGTCTTCCAGATGGAGGCGTCACGGGGTCAGAGTTCGCGTCAGTTTGCGGTGGTCTGATGAATGCTGGCGTGTCTTGTGGTGACAAGATTGCACTGTGATTGGGCCGCCGGTGCGAGGCAGGCAGGAGGGGATGCGTCTGAAGCCCTCTCCCGCTGTAGCCGGGTAAACTCTGCAGGCACTTTACATTAATGAACTTGTCACTTCTCCCAGACAACATTTTAATGAAGATGTTTTTGATGCGTGGGGTAATTTGTTTTTATTAATATGGTTTTGTGAGTGCTATTGTTAACGGGTTATAATAGATTTCCTTCCTACTTGACAAAAAAACAATACACACCTAGAGTTTTTTTGGCAGGCCATGCTTATACTTTGTTATTCAAACAATTTATCTCTTTCTGTTGTTCTCTATTTATTTTGCTTACACATCAGCCCAGTAGCCCTTAGCGCACTATGCATCACCAACAAACCACAACAGAATTATTAGTCTTACACAGACGCTTTGACTGCAGTTGACAGAGCAGACATTTTTTTTTATAAATGCAGCAGTGTGAAAATGTGCCATATGTTTTCAACTTTGCCAACAGGATTACGTTTTTTTTTTGTTTGTTTGGTTTATTCGCCTGTTAAAGAGCTGAATATCTTAGAAACTTGTCAACCGATTTCAATCAGATTTGAGGGAAAGTGAAGCCGTGAGCCAGGAAATGATGATTTGCTTTTGGTCAGGATCCAGGTACCAATACGAGACTCTATTTTCTCAGGAACTCCTGCACTTCGAATGAAATCTGGCTGAATGTTTGTCTCCCATATGTGTATTTTGATGCAGATCCAGAGCTAATGTGCATTATTTTACGTGGTTAAACTAATAAAAACAAATGAAAACTGCCTTTGATAGACAGAGATTCATGAGCTCTCTGGGTGTTTTCCAGTGCTGCCTTGTTCCCAGAAATAAAATGTAACTAGACGACAAATTACTACACAGCATATGCACTCTAAAATGTCAATGAACCTAACATTTTCCGACAAAGTTATACGTGCAGGCATATCAGGGTTCAACCATACATCTTTAGTACAGATTGTCCCCACATCTGTTGCACAGAGCATTTATTTCTGTGTTTGGTAGTCAGGGGGACAGCAGAGAGAAAAGGTCTCCAATTAGTGTATGATCCTGTGAAAATCTTTTCCATTTGACTAGGGATGGACTGCCACTTGGCCTTTCCAGCTGCTTTCTCCCAGTTTCTGCTATAAAAGAGATGCTATTGAGATTATCAGGCAATGACAGCCGCCTGCTGCAGACTGCATCAGAATGTCAATAAGCAGAGCACTGATGGTGGGGGAGAGATAGCAGGAGGCAGAGAGAGAGAGAGAGAGAGAGAGAGAGAAAGAGGCTGCTGCCAGTTCAGGAAACTGTGAGACACGTTTGAATAATTTTCATTTAACCAAATATCCTCCCCTCTCCTTCTCCAGCTTGGTGACACTGGCACCTACACCTGCATCGCCTCCACACCCAGTGGAGAGGCTTCATGGAAAGCCTATTTGGAGGTCCAAGGTAAGCTGAACCCAATACTGTGTCAAAATGTGACATTTCTGTCCATCATCGGAAGTTTTTTTTAACATCGGTGGATGTATTGTTTATTTGAACTGCAAAAGAACGAGACACATGAGATGCAGATGTTTAATACGCCAGTGGGTTTTGGAAAATACAACATTTCCTCTACAGTTTGCCTTTCTCTGTTCTACATTTAGAATTTGGAGCCCCAGTCCAGCCAAACCGACCAACGGACCCAAACCTGATCCCCAGTGCCCCTTCCAAACCTGAGGTCACAGATGTTACCCGTACCTCCATCACCCTCTCCTGGAAACCTAATCTTAATGCTGGAGCCACACCCACCTCCTATATAATAGAGGCCTTCAGGTAAACCTCATCAGCTCGACGGTCGATAAAGTAATTATTGCATGGCCTTATTTAAACCCGCATTCCCTCTGTGTTGTGTGTCCACAGTCACGCATCAGGGAGCAGCTGGCAGACCTTGGCAGAGCATGTGAAAACTGAGTCATTTGTACTGAAGGGCTTGAAGCCCAGCGCCGTCTACCTCTTCTTAGTACGGGCAGCCAATGCCTATGGGCTGAGTGATCCCAGTCCTATCACTGATGCTGTGAAAACACAAGGTGAGGAGGGCCTTTTTACTGACAGGAATTTCATACAGAACAGTGGTGTTTGGATTTTTCTGTAGTTTATTAAAGTTTATTCTGTTTTTTCCTATCTCAGATATCCCACCGACTAGTCAGGGTGTCGACCATCGACAAATCCAACGGGAGTTGGGAGAAGTGGTTATCCACCTGCACAACCCCACCATTCTCTCCTCCTCGTCTGTCAGGGTGCAATGGACAGTAAGTATAATTTTCCCCGTGAATACACCGGTGTCACTTCTTTTTCTTAGGAACATCTGCAGCCAGCTACAGATGGATCGTTGGTATAGCTGGTCACCAAAGCTCCAAGGTTAGTTTAGTGATACGCCCATGGTCAATTTGTCAGACCAGTCAGCCGAGCTAATGTACTCCCATCCCAGCACCCTACAGACGAAGGACACTGCAGAAAGGAGCCTGGAATGCAGTCCAAGTGTTCTTAGTGTCCATCTGGCATCGGCTTGAATTGGTAGGCTGGCCAGATACCAAAAATCTGCAGCTTTGTCCACAGTGGACCACTCAACCACCCAAAAGCGAGACTACAGAGCTCAGCCTTCTGCAATAGGTCACGCAGCGCTGAATAGCAGTGTATGGCGTGCCAGCCTGTGCCCTCTTAGATTGAAAACACTTGACGGCTGTTAAAATAATACAAGTGAGAAGGAAGAGACGGCCAGCTCATGCTCTTAAGTGAAAATGGGTTGCAGATGTTAGAACGGATAGGTGGGTGAGGAAGAAGTAGAACTGGAAGCTCACGGTGGTGTTTCTCTGTTGGTACAAGCTGAATATGAAGTGCTGATGTCCTCCTGTAAATTATCCGCTTGGTGTAACTTTTCGAGACGGTACAACTATACATTACGGCTCTCCACCTTTTGTTGTGGATATTAGCCTGCAGGATGGGTCACCGAAGGGTAAAAACAATCCCAGTTGTGCCTATTGACATGAGGCCACCCCTACATTCCCAGGTATTATGAAGTGCCACAGTGAGTGATGAATGGGGCTGAGGAAACGTGAAAAGGATACTGACATGTCAAGACTGATTTAAAACATTACTGCCCAGTTACTGTGTCTCGCTGGAATGTTCCAGTAAAACATATGACATGAGGGAGACTGACATTGTAGTTAAGCGCCACAGTTTCCTTGTTTTGTGGGGTTAAATCTATTCCCAATGTGGAGTTTCTTGCTTCTTTTTTTTCCTTACATTTTCCTTTGTGTTGTGGTAAATGGTTGCACAGTTTTCAGGCTAATGAAGACCACCTGAGCCGGCAGCATATTTTATGGGGGAGGGATAAAGAAATCACTAAAATCTTTACAAGCCAGCGCTGCTTGCCTTCCACAGGGACTCGTAGGGATATTAGCATACTGGTTAGCGGTTATTCTTTTCTCGAACAATACTGGATCACAAAGAAACATTAATTGCCCCTAGATTAAACTAACACAAATCCCTTCTAATTACATTTATCTTCTGTATTTAGCCACATCAGATGCCATTTAACTTGCTGTATTGTCAACTTCCTGTTTGCTGTGTAAAAATCCACTTTTCCCCTGTTTCCTGACTTCAGCAGCCGGTGGAGAGCAGGACGGGATGAGACAGGCAGTTCTGGGAGTCTGGGCCCTATTTAACCAGCTCCAGACTTGGAGGAACCTTTGGCCAATGACCTCATAGTGTGGTTTGCACAAATCACTGCTGCTCCAAATGGCGCATAGACAGTCAAAACGAGAGATGTAGATGTGGATGGATAACCAGAGGGGTGAAGTGATGAGTTAGCACCCCATTCCATCCAGCGCCTCATGTACCAGCTGCACGAACCCATTGTTGTCCACTAACGCTTCCATTTTTCAGTGAATTGTGAATCACATAATCGAGTCAAGCTGACTCCCCCCGTCTTTGTCTGTGTTCTCGTGCCATTCACTAGGTGGAGCAGCAGTCACAGTACATCCAGGGCTACAAGGTGATGTACAGGCCTTCACCGGAGGGGCTGCAGAGGAGCGAATGGGCCGTGTTTGAGGTTCGAACCCCAGGGGAGGACAGCGCCGTCGTGCCGCAGCTCCGGAAGGGTGTCACATACGAATTCAAAGTCCGCCCCTTCTTCAATGAATTCCAGGGAACCGACAGTGATGTCAAAATTGGCAAGACGCTGGAGGAAGGTGGGGGGATGTGAACGTGTATGACTGTGTGCTTTAGTGCTTGCATGTGTGCACGCATGTTTTCATGTTTACACAGTTTTATATGCACAGCTTGCATGTGTGAGAGCGTACAGCAGCTGTTCACAGCAGGCTGCGAGGGCAGGATTATGCTATGTTGATATGTGGCGCATTCATGCTCGGGTATGGAAACCTATATACAACACACCAGTGCAAGTGTTGTACTGATTTTCATAGGGTGTGGTTGTGGCAGCCTTGTGAGGTTTGGTTGGAACCCAACTGCAAATTTTAATTTGTAGTGAACAGTTAAGAGAAATGTGAGTGCAGAGTGTTTACTAGAGAGCGTGTGTGTTTGTGTGTGTTGCGTGTGTGGGAGTGTTTTGATCTTTTTTCTGCTGGATTCTCCTTTGTTCCCATTTTTTTGATGCTAATTGTTTTTGGAGCTCTAATCATAATGTTTGCAGAAAAATGTCTGTTTATAACACTCACTCACACTCTTTATGTCGCGTTCATAATTATTTCAGTTTTAATTACGGTCGGACCACAGGTTGGCGTTTGCACACCGCCGTGTACCCCGCCGTCATAACTTACGGTCTAGTTCGAGTAAACAGTTATTTGCTTTTATTCACTCGCGAAAGCACTTGTATGAAACAAACAGTTTTCAGATAAAAGCATGGTAATTTTGATGATTAGTCACTTGTTCTAACGTCAGCTTCAGTCTCACACAGAGACAACGGATACTCTGACAGCTAAATTGCCCTGGAGAGGCAGACAGAGACTGCATGCAGTTAGGGAAAAAAACCCAAACTGTATCATGTATGAACATCTTTTTTTCTTTATCCCCACCAGCCCCCAGCGCCCCTCCCCGTAAGGTTACAGTGACCGAGAGTGGGGACAATGGGACTGCCATTGTGGTCTCCTGGCAACCTCCTCCAGAAGAGGAGCAGAATGGGGTGGTCCAGGAGTACAAGGTAACGAAAACAACAACAACAACAACAACAAAAACAGACAATAGTTATCTCAGGTCTGAGCAAGTGGGACTTGCCCTATGGAGACAAGAAAGAGACATAAACATGGGAGCAGACAGAGCAGAGAAAGAGACAATACACAGACATGGAAAGGTAATGAATTCCTGGTGGAGGCGTACCTTTGTACACTCCTCAGTGTGCTGACTGAGGCTCAGATGCAGGAGAGGAAAGAAATCAAAAGCTGGAGCGAGTTGGATACAAGAGTTGTGAAACAGTGCCATCTGGTGGAGAAGACACACTCACACATCTTTTGCAGTTCTTACTATTTTTTTTTCCCCCTTGCAGTATCTTCTTGTCTTCATCCGACGGTGGTTCAGTCTTGAGTGAGGACAACAGATCCCTGTGTGTTTAGTTGAGATGAAATGTCGATTAGGTCCAGGACAGATGGGGTATTTTTACTATTTATTTGTGCTGTTAATACATTGAAAATTAGAAGAATTCCACCTTTAAAGAGTCTAAACTACACAAAACACATTTGTACTGCTGATATGATTTATTAGGGATATCCATGTAGCAGCAAGGTAATATAACAAGCTGTTATTTCAAAATCCATGTTACAAAGGGCTTCCAGAGGCAGCAAAATAAAACATACAGACATGAAATCATAAGGATTTAAGAGCCAGGTAAAAACACAGTATGGCAAATAAATAAAGCAATGTTGAAAACGTAAATATAAAATCAGAAGAGATTAAAATAAAATCAAGCTAGGCCCCCTAATAAAAGTATGTGTTAACTGATTTCCTCGGGCAGATGGTTTCAGAGCCTCGGGTTCCTGACAGTAAAAGCTTTTTTTTCCCCCTTTAACTTTCATTCGCTTCTCAAGAACAGACAAAAGACCTCTGCTCAAGGATCTCGTAGTGCTGCATAAGGTATTAAAAGGTCAGAAATATAACTAGAAGAAAGGTCATGAAGTGCCTTAAAAGTGATCAGTAAAATCCCTCCTAAAACACACTGGGAGTCGGTGTAACGAGGCTGAAACAGGAGTGATGTGCTCACGTTTCTCGGTTCTGGTTAACAAGACCTTATTTCCAGTCATTTCTTTGGACATCCTTCCTCCTATAGCACCTCTGTAAGTTCCTTTCTTCACCTCCTGACTTGATAATGTAGCCCCGTTTATAATGGCCTCACTCTGGATCGCACCATCCTCTCATATATTATGCTGTGGAAGTCCTGTGTTTTAATTGGAAAGCCTTTGAGTCATGGGGAACGTAGGTGAGTGGTGGAAAGGGAGATGAGGCAGAGAGAGTGGAGGAAAAAAAAAATTAAGCCACTGTTAATTTTCCAGGTAAATGTTTTCTGGTGATAGACTTTAGAGTAATTTCATGGTTTTTAAGTCCAGTTCGAGAGCGTTCCCTGCTCATTACCGAGCCCGGTCCCTGGCGGCGCTGCCACTCACCGCAATTTTTAAGACACACAGAAAATTTCAAGCCTTTGTAGTTCCATCACAGCAGCGCAAACACATGCACACGTGTTTGCTGCACACCGAAGGAAGCGAGCTTATTAACGTGGGCGAAGGGGGAGGTGAGGGGGTAAAGAAAGCAGAATGTCAGCGGTTCAGGAAGTGGAAGTCTCCAGGCCTCATGCTGAGGTGAATGTATGCGTCTCTTTGTGACCCTGGCTCGAGTCGGCCTGCGAGTGACAGCTCTTAGCTTCTGCTCAAATTGGGTTACGGGTGTGATTACCAGTCCCCATTTGCTTTTCATTGGTTTAAGGCTACTCTGAGACGTGTTATGGCTACCTCAGCTAATACTGACCCTGTGTTGAGCGCAGCTTGTAAAACAGAAAGTCGTGTTGTGAAATGTTTTCCTACCTTGGTGGATGTAACACAATACCCGCTGTGTGTTGTATTAGCAGCACCAAGGACACACAATGGTGGCAGCTACCAAATTGAATGTTGCCACGAAAACCCCTCATAACATCGCCCCGATTTCCACTTTATCTTTGTCTCTGTTATGGCAGATTTGGTGCTTGGGGAACGAGAGCAGGTACCACATCAACCGTACGGTCGATGGCTCCACCTTATCCGTGTTGATTCCCAGTCTGGCCCCAGGGATCCGCTACAGTGTGGAGGTAGCAGCCAGCACCGGGGCGGGTCCCGGGGTCAAGAGCGATATCACCTTCTTCCAGCTTGGTGAGTAGAAACAAGTCTCGGTTCTCTTTCTCTGTCTTGTTTTTTTCCTAGCGGATGCATTACTTCATTGTTTTTGTCCTCTGGCAATTCTCGCCACTGAATGAGGCCCAATCGTTTGACAAATAATTATGGCATTAATCCAGCCATCTCAAATTAAGAGCTTTTCAGTAATATGACTTTCTGCCAAGTAAACAGACAATTATGTAATTCCTTTCTTTGTAGTAACAGACGTGTTCGAGCCTCTGCCCGTTTTCCCTTTCATTATCAACTGCGGCGTTTTAAAGCTATAATTGAAATGATTGCTTGCTATACAAACATCATCAAACTTGCCACGGAAGAGCATGACGAGTTTGACTGACAGTTTTTACAGTTTCTCTGTGCAGACGGAAGCGGCTTCAGCTACTGTAGCTGGCAGCGCCATCAACACAGACACATTAAATTCCTGTGTGGCAGGCGCTGTTGAGCCGAGTGCCGCGCCCTGCTCCATTCTCCAGTCAAGGATGCAATGTTTTCTGCCTCTGCTCTGCTTCAAACAACAAAGGCAATAATGAATCCTGCACTCTGGGCTCAGACATGACATGTTATTAATGCTAAGAAACACAGCGTAGCCTGCGCGTGGCTGGTTGTTGTAATTTTCTTTTCTTTTTTTCGTGTGTGTGTCCTTTTGGTCTAGATGGGCAAATATTGTGAGATATTTTGTCAGTTTTTATTCCCCGAAGCTCCGAGCTGGTCTACACGGGAGAGAGATGGGAAAACACATGAATAGCAGGATGAGGCAGCGAGAGAAAGAGCTCCATCTGGTTTTAAATGTGTGATTGAGTAGGCTGGAATGGGCATGAAGAAGCATTGGCTGTGACTGATACAATTTATCTCACTTGAAGAGTTCCTGTGGTGATTGTTGCCATGTTCCAACACTGGAGTGGAACAATGTGCCTCGGGGACCAGCGCTTCACCCAAATGCATTTGTCACACTCTTGAGCTTGTATGCGTCATTCCAGCCTAGATACCTGTACAGTCTCTTGTGGGCTGCTTAGTCACATTGGCATGCTCCGCTCCCTCGGCCAGACAGAGCCACAAATTGAGGAGACAGAGAAGTGAGAAGAGAGGCGGCCAAATGGAGACGCAGGCTGAGACAAAGACAGACAGACAGATATGGAGGGTTAAAGGCAGCGAGCTGGTTTCTGTTCGCCTCTGGGTTGGAGGGTTGGTGGAGGAGAAGGGGCCACAACATGAAAGAGTCGAGAGAGAGAGAAAAAAAAAAAGAGATGAAGACAAAAAGTAACAAGAACATGAAGAAATTTCAGAATGGCAGGGGGTGGGGCGAGTCAGAGGAGTCTTTCATGTATGAGAGAGAATAGACAGATGAGAAAAACAGACCGGGAGCAGGTTGTTGTGAGCAGCCGTGCAGGCAGCATCTTTACACTGTATTTCACAGCAGAAATGGCTTGGAGGCATTCACACCTCAGTTTTCCACACATGTGCCTCAGTTTGCTAATTACTGTGGTGTCTGTATTTGAGGATGATCTCGGTGGATTTATTTATATGATTATGAAACCTCCGCTGCTCTGCATAAACGCTGCCTCTCTCTGTTTTGCTATCCGATTCCATCAGGCTGGCGTGGCGCACAGACTCTGTTTGAATGTTTTCGGTTGCTTTTGTCTGCTCACCTGCCATTGTTGACTGGGATTTGCGATGAAAGCCTTTTGAATTATAGAGGGAAACAACTCCATTTCCACAACCCAGCCTCATACTCACCTGCTGAGATGAAGAATCTTTTTATGTATCAGGGAAAAAAAAAAATGTTCCTATTTATGTACTGTGCAGGCTCCATTTATTTTAAATATATTCATCTATTTCAGGCTGTTGCCACTTTTTAAGCCTTTGGTTTCAGACTTTCTTCTCTCCTGCTATCGCAACTCTCATGTGCCATCCAATTTTTTCATGACCAAATGTACTTTTGTCAAGATTGCCAATCATGTTATTGTATTTCCTCTGATCCTTTCCTACCCGTAGATGCATCCGGGCGGATGACAGAGACTGTGAGCCAGGAGAACCCGCTGTCCCAGCAGATCTCAGATGTAGTCAAACAGCCGGCCTTCATAGCAGGCATAGGAGCCGCCTGTTGGATTATCCTCATGGTCTTCAGTATCTGGTTGTACAGGCACCGCAAGAAAAGGAATGGCCTGTCCAGCAGCTATGCAGGCATACGCAAAGGTCAGTACACGAGTGCACCAGTAGAAGTTTAACACTCACAGGAATATCGACTTGAATTTCTAATTTCCATCGCTGGGTTGGAGTTGGAGGAGGTGTTCTCACTTGGAAAATTTGGTGGGGAAACGCAATGCAATATTTATTAGCGCGGGCCTGTGTTCGTGTCTGTGTCAAGCCGGTCTCCTCCATCTTCTTCATCCCAAACGCTGCCAACCCACCGTACATCCCCCCTCTGTCACACACTGAAAGGTGTCTTTGTAGAGCGCTCGAGGTGAAGTCTAACTGAAAGTACTTTCCAGTAGAGTACTTTAAGACGCGATGCGAGCTCCTGCTGAGAGTGCTGCATGAAGACGTCTTTTATTTCTTTTTCATACTTGCGTCACGCTGATTCTGCAAGAGTGTGTGAAGAGTGTTTTCAGTAAAGTACATTTTGAGGTCCAACAACTCCCCCTTTTAGCAACTCCCTTCAGACTGTGCTGGGAAAGAGGGAATGTATTGCCATAATCCCTCTTTATCAAGGGCATGCTGACATGTTCACATGCTTGAAGTACTCTTGCTGTCCTTTTAGAGAAAGGCCTTCAGAAATGGAGGAGTTAAGCATTTAGCAATCCTGCTAATAAACACTTCTTAACATATGTTGTAAGAAATCCAAGAAGCTCGGAGCTGCATTTCCAAACCTCTTGCAGCGTTGGGTTTTTACGCGACTTAAGTCAAAGTGACAGGGTTCATGACATGCCCAGCCTCTGCCCGCAATAGTTAGAGTATAAAGAGAGCCATTAGCCTTTCTTTCGGAGTCTCATTTATGTGTGGGCTGGCTTAATGTGTGGCCTTGGGCTGTGCAGCTGCTGCCTGTGAGCGCTACCTGTTCCATCCCCTACTGCTAGGCTCAGGTTTACTGCTGGCTGCCAAGGTTAGAGGAGATCCACCCTTCAGCCTTGATACACACACAAACAATAGACTGACTTAGCTGTTAATCTGTGGCTGTCACACAGAAAGCACAAGCTGTCCGTGTTCTAAATCTGCCGCGGCTATGTTAATCGTGAGAATTGCAAGTTATGTCACCTCGGCTAAGCTTTTCCCGAAGCTCCGTGCACGTTTGCAAATACCTGTGTGGTCTGTAATGGTTGGAACGGTCGCGTTTTTCATTATGTCTTAGATTACAGAGAAAACAGTCTGGAGACCAATATTTTATGAATGCAATAATGGTCCGTGGATAGGTGTGAGAGGAGAATCCTGGATGAGGTTACTGTGATCATATATGTTTACTCAAAAAAAAAAAGAATAAAGCAAAGCTCTTCAGGGACCAGTAGGCCGACATACTCCCCTCCCTCTCCTGCTTGTGCGCTCAGACCACAAGAGGCCACGGTCTTTGTTGGAACTGGTTACTAAGAATGTTTTGAAGAGAGTATAATTGCAACCACATGAATCAACAATCTGCACTCAGGGTGAAATAGGTTGAATTGGGACTAGTGTGTCCTACACTGTATGCTAGTGTTGTCTCTAATAGAGTACATATTTAAGTTTGTCAGCAGCAAAAAAAAAAAAAAGCCAGGCAGCTTTTTCTTATTACCTTGACAGTGAATCTAATAAAACAGACCTCCTCATTGTGCTGTTGTTTTGATCAGCGACGTCATTGTGAGAACACAGAAACGGGTTGATTTAGCCCGACAGTCGTGCATCAGAATGGAAACCTGACTTATGCATTTCAGTCACGTTCACATTTCTCAGACTGTTTTGTGTACGTCTCCTCTTCAAAGGCGTTCATCGAGCAGATAAAAGCCGTCCAACCCGCTGGTATCTTTAGACTAGTTTGAGCATCAAGGGGAGAGATTCTAACATGATAAGATGATTGTGGTTTTTAGAGGACTTTTGTTGGCACAGGTAGCGTATGAAATAATGGAGGAAATAAAAAAAAAAGTGACAACAGCAGTATCTGTCTTCTCAGTCGTCTCTCGCAGATGCAGTTTTCAGCTGACGGCAGGCAGCAGATTTTCTAAAATGGACATCTTTAAGGCGGTGTGCTGGATGACTACCAGCGTGGTGCAATGTTGCATCAGCTGCAGTGCTTACTGTTACATTTCTCACTTCTTTGAACAACAACAACAACCAAAGATTTGACTGAAGATGCAGACCACAGCAGTCATTACAGCATCTAAATGTGCCTACAGCGGATCAATGTCTTATAAAAAGGTCCTTTCCATGCTTCAGTGTGAGTAATTAAACTTCGAGGGTGATGATGTGAGTGTCAGAGATAACAGCAGATATCTCCCAAGCGTGTGACCCCCAACCAGCGGGCCTCCGACAGTCTGGGCCAGGATTTGAACCAGCAGCTGGCTCAACATTCGTTTTCCCCCTCCGGGATATCTGAGGGGATCAAAGACGAGGGGGCAGCGAGTAGCGTGTGAATACTGTGGAAGTGTAGCTTAAAATGAAATTTTGTTGTGTTAAAGCAGAAAAATCAAGCAGAACAGTTCAATAACACTTTTTTTTTTCTGTCCCAACAGTGCCATCCTTTACTTTTACACCAACAGGTAAGAACCTTTATTCACACTCTACACAGTTCATTCACTAAGCTCCAGCTTTTTCAGTACGTCTACCTCTAATGGTCTTTACAGCTCCAGTCTGAATAGATTCATTTGTAACTGTAGAGAAGTAAGTGAGGGACATGTGATGGGAAGCAACAAAAGGAGTCAACAGTTTAAGGATCTGCCTCGATATAAATGTTCCGCTAAATGACAGAACGTAACGCTCAAAGACGAGGAGGCCACACTGCTAAGAAGCTGTTAAAACTAGTGGTAACTTGATCAAAGGGCTGCTGGCAACCTTAGATGGGATTTAGGAGAATGACACACCACCAGCACTCCAACACACCAATTAGATAGGCAAGTGGCAGCGGAGCTAAGGAGGTTATCTGTGAACTGAAGTGACACAGCGTAAAAGAGATAAAAAGAAAAGCTCTCTGTGTCTCTATCTTTCTGTCTCTGCAAGTTTGTGTTTACAGCCCTCTCCTCCTCTTCCTTTCACTTGTGGATTTTTATCCATCTGAAATTCTTTGTTCCCCGGAGGCGTGTCAGGGGTGTTGGCAGTGCTTAGTGCAGTGGCAAATGTGAAACAGTGAATAGACAAGAGGACGCACCGGTGTGAGACACAATGCCGTACAGTGTGTGTTTGTGGCTACGCCGGCTGATCCTGTCTGTGCAGAACACACTGTAGCGGTGCTGTTTTTTGTGAGCCTTGAGGCATCCAATCAGATAGAATAATTTTGCAGTTGCAGGCTTGTTCCATGATCTGCTGGAAATCTTTCAGGCGAAACACACTGTCTCTTTAGGAGGAAAAACCCCTGCCCTGGTACCTGGTGTAAAACCAGGACTTTACATTGCATTATGCTGATTTTAATCTACAACTTGACTCCTCTGGCTACACGCACAGGCCAAACACACATCCTGTTTTGAAAAAGAGACAGGGAATGAACACAGCCGTGGCCCAGCCTGCCTCCTCTTCCACCTTCTCTCCTCTCAGGGAAGAGATTGTAATTAAAGTTGGAAGTTTATCTCTCCTCCACACACCGGCAGCTTAGAGCTCCTTGAAAGAGTCCAACTTGCAGCACATAGAGCTTCAAACACACTGAACCCGAGCCAGACAACCAAAGAGCTCTGCATCTTTGTTCTTCATAAGCCTCTTACACATCCTCCTCCTGCTCCTGTTGCTATGTGTGTGAGTCAGCTGAAATTATGCCACACACATTCATTCACACTCCAACTGATAGAATAACGCAGACTTTAAAAAAAAGACACATTCCATCATCGCTCACAAAGCCGGCAATTCAATATCAAATGAATCACTTCGTGTTGACCGTATGTGACGGGGGTAAGGATGATGATGTGGTGATATGTGCAACGGCGGTGAAATCAGCTTTTGAACTCATGATTTTCTCTCTTTTCAGTGGCATATCAGAGAGGTGGAGAAGGTGTCAGCAGTGCCGGAAGGTAAGAGTTCATTTTTTAGAGAGCATTTGTATGATAGTATTTCAAATATAAAATCACATTCTGGGAACCTGAAGGATGATTAGAATTTAATCTCAAATATAAAAAGATCTTAAACCTCCCGAATAAAGGAAAAGGGTTGGGCAGGTGTACTTTTCCTCAACGAGCACTAGGGGGAGTGCTGTGCCTTTCTATAGTGGCACACAGCAGAGGAGGGGGTAAGGAGGTGCATTAAGTATGTGATAATACTACAGGAACAAAGCCCCATATAGTCTGCCAGGAGCCCATCCTCATCCCATATGGTGGAGAGCCTCATCCAACCACAAGGCTGTGCCATAGCATCACCATAAAACATTAATGGAGATACATGCACAGACACAGCAGCAGCAGCAGGAACACACCTCCTCATGTTGTGGAATGGTGCATTGTGCACAAATGGTGAGACTGTAGAGAATTAGGATTGGCAAACACTACATCAACTTGCCAAAAGACGTGTGTGTGTATCGACTGGCGTGTTTTCACATAGCCGGTAAATGGGAAAAGCGGGTTAAAAAAAAAGAGAAAATATGCGTTTATTTATCACTCTTTCCCTCAAACTACAAAACTGTACTATAAGTGTGTGTGCGTGTTGTTCATGTGTTAATGAATAACTAGCTTGGAGCGATCAAAAATCCATATTCATTATATTACCCAGTTGTATGATTGAATCCCCCCATATGCACACGGCTGTGTCAGCTCAGCACAAAGACAATGGCCGTTCAATATCAACATACAACTGCCGGGCTGATTGAGGAGCTATTGTGAGATTGTATTTGGCCGTACAAGACAAATGTGCTCATTACCCAAAATGAATCCAAGAAATGAGTCATTTAAGAGGGAATGAGGAAACGTAATTCAATGCTAATTCAGTGTTGGGATATGCAAACTGGGAGTCATTCTGTTGATATTTGAATACTGAAACAATATATGGCCCTGCTAGAGTAGCCTGCGTTCTCTTTGTATGCTAGATTGATTCAATTCATCAGCAATAGGAGACAATTTATTGTCTTCTCTTTTTACACTCTTGTGTTTGGCCTGAGGTCAGGTTGTACAGTAGAATCCTGTTGAACAAGCGATCTTGTATTGTGTTGGGATTAAAGCTAAAGAAACAGGAGCCAAGACATGGAAAGAATAGAGATGGATGGCCAGACAATAATATGAAGGACTGGTCCGCATGGGTTTCTCCTCTGGTTGCTCAAGTTTATCTTCTCTCCTTCTGTAGAGCTATAAAAAACTTTTCAAATGATAGAGATATTGTGTGACACAGTGGAATCTACGTTTGTGGTTCACTGACTGTTTGGGGCGTGCATCTCGCAACATTGGGAGTGAATTTTATCTGGCTGTCTAATCCAGGCGGATCGCTAATGCTCACGAGGGCTCAGGGAAAGTGTCATCGGCTGTGGGCAAGTCAAGCACACACAATCTATTTAGCTGGGCTTTTTTTTTCTCCTAATGTGCTCCCTGAGCTTGTGTGTGGCCAAAAGGCAAAAAGTACTAAAGCTGGATTTCTAGTTTTTTTTGTATTCTCAGCTGAATAAATAAACTCCACATAATCTTCTCTTTCAAATATTATGTTACTGCGGGAGCTTCAGCTCATTCACATAAATGTCATTGTGGTGTTGGCTTAGTCTCTCACTATTGTTAACAATTTGGTCCTGTTTTTTTTTTTCAGGCCTGGTTTACTGAACATTGGGGAATCTGCCACTCAACCCTGGCTGGCTGACACGTGGCCCAACTCCTGCTCCAACCACAACGACTGCAGCATCAACTGCTGCACTGCAGGCAACGGCAACAGCGACAGCAACTTGGCAACGTACAGCCGACCAGGTATGTGTCGTCCCGCCGCATGTAGCCAGCAACCAAAATAAACACTCCCCGCCAAGGCAACGACGCAGTCCTTGACAAAATAACTGTAGAGATAAGACGTGTAGGAGCTGGGGGAATCTGCAGAGCAAAAAGGAAGTAAAATCTGATATCTAGGTTAGCTCCCTGGAGAGTTGTTCCGTGTATCTCTCCCTTCTGTAGGTCTCCACAAGAAAAACCTGGAGAAATATTAGGATTAAGAGAGGCTGTGTGCTTGTGTGTTTGATTTATCTGAGGTTAAAGTAAAGCTGTTTTAGGCAGGAAATAAAAGGAGCACACTGAGCAGGGCTTATAGCTCTACTCTGTTGCTAATCGAATTGCTCTGCTGATTTCCATACAGTTGTTATAGCCGGTAATGTAATTTCCCCTAAGTGCTCAGTTATTTAAGAAATGTGCAGCGGGCGAAGAGGTCAAGGCTGGACTGCAGACGATGGCCAGAAGCAGAGAAAGAGAGAATGATAGAGGGAGAAGGGTGCACCTGGAAGAGCAGATGGAAGGAGGAGAAAGGAGTGATGAAGCATAAGTATATGCTAAAACATACACTGAGATGTATGGGCAGAAGTGCCGAGCATGAATAAGAAGTTAAGTAGGGTAGGTGGGGAGGAAAGAAAGACTTATGGAATGCCAGCAGGTGGCTTTTTGGTTCATTCAACAGTAGTACAACAAAGAGATGCAAATTCACCCTCAGAATCTTATATGCTGTGATCTATCTGAAATAAGCAGGCAAAGGCTTCAGCCCGGACGACATAGGACGCAGTGGTGTTCATTTTCAGCCATGACCAACGACCCTATGCTTGGAAACTTACTCCGCAATGAAATGCTTTATGTTCTAAATTATGCACTTTGGGACTATGCCTTTAAGGGCAGCACATAATTCCCGTCCAGCTGTTCGACCTAATATCCATCCAGCAGCCACTCAATAGTTTCTCCTGACTTCAAACTCCTTCCCAATGAGGATTAATAATTCATTTGGTGGACTTTATAGTCAAGTTTAGTTTTTGCTTTGTGCTAATCACCCCTCAGAGGTTGAAGTGTTTAACTCTACCTTAACATGGTGTGAGATGTTTAACAGGGAATAACAGGCTAAAGGCAGCCCTCACTCCTCGCATGACACCCCGCTGTATGACACTAAGGAGCTTGCCAGACGCATGCTTTGTGTGTATGCCAAACCTAAACTCTGTGAACATTAAGAGGATCACTGACTAGGTGACAGAGCAAAGAAATGGGAGTTAATGTCCCTTTATCTGAGCCATAGGGGCGCTTTCACACATCAGCCTTTGAAGTGTTGAGCTGTTCCGTGCAGCTGAAATGTGAGGCGCGCGGCACGAGCGGCGTGCACCTATGGCCGTCCTTGGTATTTACCGCAAGGCTGGCTCTCAGATCTGCTGGAGGATTTGAATATTTTATGAGCCAGGGAAAATTGGATCTGTCAGTGGAGCTGTGCTTTTACTGCGCGCCTCATTCCAGGTCTTTGATACAGACATGTCTCTCTGTCCCTCTCAATGAGCAAAGACGCTCCCGCCGTCAGATGGAAAAGAACACAGATGACACCCACATTGAGTCATTTGGTTGGACTGACGAGAGACTAGGCGAGAACGGTGCAACACCACCTGTGTCGCTCACCGCAAGCAGACCGCTTTTTGGCAAACAAAACTGAGACTTAAAATCAGAGTAGAGATCTCTCTGCAGCGTTTCTTACAAATGCTCGAAATGAAAATGTGTCGCCTTTCTCAAATGAAACTCTTTCAGCTCTACAGTAGATCACGTGATGCCCTATTGTTTGAAATCTTTTACCAAGCTGGCAAACTGCTGCTAAGCTGATCAGCAGCAGAAAAGACTGACTAAATACCCTCCTCATGTTCTCCAGCCGACTGTATCGCCAATTATAACAACCAGATGGAAAACAAGCAGACCAACCTCATGGTGCCAGAGTCAGGAGTCTATGGGGACGTAGACCTGTCCAACAAGATCAATGAGATGAAGACCTTCAACAGCCCAAACCTAAAAGATGGCCGCTTTGTAGGTCCGGGGGGCCAGCCGACACCTTACGCCACCACCCAGCTCATCCAGTCCTCCATCCTGGGCAACAACATAAACTCGGACAGAGGCACCGGAGGGAGCGGAGGCGGACTTGGGGGTGGAGGGGAGGTGAATGAGAAACACTGCTGGAAGCCCACCTCGGTCCAGCAGCAGAAACAGGAAATGGGCTCCCAGCTACAGTACAACATCATGGAGCAAAACAAGCTGAACAAGGGTGAGTGTGTGGAATACCCAGCAGCCATGGTTAGAGAGGTCAACTCCGAGCCATGATCTTCCTCCACTTGATTTTTCCCTCTGTTCTCTCCTCTCCTGGCTCTTTTCAGTCTCACTGTGGATACCTGTAGAAGAGTTCCATGCTCATATATCCCTTTGGCTCTGCCTCAGTCCTTTTCAATCAACATAGGCATCATCACTCTTTCTTTCTGCCTGTCTGTATGGCATTCATGTAACCCCTCATCACCCTCCATGCAATCATGTATAATCTTTGCCGCTAAATGTGGGCCCGGCTTGAATTGCTGTCATCTTATGGTATCTGGGATGTCATTTTGTGATGAAGGCAGGTGTGAGGGTTTACGTTCGGTGTCGGCTTTCGAAAGGAAAGACAAAGATAGCTCAAAGATCTTTAGACGCTTTGAGTGAAGCTATCATCACCTTGTTGTACCTGCAGAAAGGAACCACATCTGGTGTGATAGTTTGGAGATTTTTGTGCAGATGTTGCATGTGTCCACACACTCACCTGAAAACTCTAACGTATGAACTGCATGCCTCTTGTTACGTGTGACGCCGTCTCATTGTGTACACGAGTTCACGTTTCCAGTGTGAAGTGGTGGTAAATTATCGTATCATCCTTCATTTCCTTCTTTATAACAAAGTGGATGCTTTGTTTGAGCCTCTCTGATGGGGGAACACGTGAGTCTGAGGCGGCACTAACCAAACACTCCATTCTCCCCAAAACCAGACCGCTACAGAGGAGGTGACAGCCCAATGCCAGCCACCATCCCCTACAACCAGAGCCACGACAGCCACACCGGGGGCTCCTACAACAGCTCTGACCGAGGCAGCAGTAGCACCTCTGGTAAGATGTTTGGGAGCACAGAGGTTATAAGTATCAGAGGTATAGTATAAGAGGCTATAAAAATCAGCATATCTGTAATTTCTAACCAATTAGACTTTACTCATATAGCACTTTTCATACAATAAGAGTTCATTAGGAGTTTGATTCTTAATATTTTGCCCTTTTTAATTAAACTGCCAAAGTATAGTCGCAGCTTATTATTGTTGTGAACCCTATAATCACACGCACCCTCCAGCTCCATTTTAAAATTCCAGTTTTCCACAAAGGCAATAAATCTTTGCGACACTAATAAAGTATGCTTTAAATGGTAATTTGATTAATGTCGGCCTATCTTGAGGAGAAACCTTCACAAAGTGGAAAATTGCTGAGTAAAAACAGAGGAGGAATTTACAATTCCTCCAAACAATGCCTCGTCTTTTGTTTCCTGAGTGCACAGTTATCCAAGGATGTTTAAAGCAAATGAAATGATCCATTTTCCTTTATTCTTTATATTTAGTTTTTCCTGCTTTGTATTTTATTTCTGTTCGTCCTTGTTTATTTTGTGTTACTTCCGTTAATTGGCTTTACTTTAATTCCAGCATGGAGCAGCCTAATTTCATCAGGGCCTCAATGTCTGTCTGCGGACAAGGACAAATGATAACACATTGCAGACGGCATGCAACACTGCCACCTTAATGCCATGTATCCATTCTGATATTGCGTTTGAAGTTCAAGCCATTAAGGAGAAGCCTTTAGTGCTCGCTGCACATCACAGCTCATTGGTTCACAATTTTAATAGTTTGGTATTAATTGAACCCTTTTCTACTGTTTTTTTCCGACCTATTCTCTCGGTACTGGGTTCTGGCCCCGTAAGGAAATAGCTGTTTTATAGAATTTTCTTGTCATTTAATAACGCAGGGGTATGTGCAGACTTGCATGAAGTGGAGGGTTGCATTAGCCTTTGCACTCACACGTGTAAAATGAGCTTTTCTTTGTCAGTCAGCCTTGTTAATGTTAATTTTATCTGCTGTCAATTTCTTTCTTCTTACCTTGTGATTTCTTCAGCATTAATAATGGATGTTTTTTTCACAGACAAAGAGAATCTAAGTATGTGCATCTGTAGGTGTCTTGTGACTGATTGTTTTCTTTTTCCTTTTCTGAGCAGGGAGTCAGGGTCAAAAGAAGGGAGTGCGCACCCCCAAACTACCCAAACAAAGCACAATGAATTGGGCTGACCTTCTGCCCCCTCCTCCTGCAAACCCACCCCCAAGTCGGAGCACAGAGGAGTACTCTCTATCGATGGAAGAAAGGTGGGACATGTCTGCACAGACGATTTGACAGACGTGCACACACTGTTTTTAAATACAAGTTCGTTTCACCTGCGTTTTCTCTCGTTTCTCGCATTCATTCCCAGCATTTGCCCCGAGGGTTTTCTGTCTATTAGCGCTAGGTTTATGTCAGAGCTTGATAGAAGGATGGCATGAATATTTAGCGCATGTTTTTCTGGCTTCAATATATGAAAACACTCATGTTTTCAGTGAGTGATATGAAGGTAACGGGGCTTGTTTCTCTCTGCTGGCAGCTGTGATCCAGACATGCAGTGCCCCATGCCCCCCTCTCACATGTACCTGCAGCCTGATGAGCTGGAGGAGGAGGAGGAGATGGAGAGGGGGCCCACTCCTCCCATCCGTGGGGCGGCTTCTTCCCCTGCTGCTGTATCTTACAGTCACCAGTCCACAGCCACGCTCACCCCTTCACCCCAGGAGGAGATGCAGCCGATGCTCCAGGATGCACCAGACAGCCACGAACGCAGGTACACCCACATGTCAGACTGTCTTCAAGCATAACAAATGGCAAAAGAAGAGTAGTCGGGAAATGTATCTATTCTTAAAAGCCTCACAGAGAAACACGGTCTCTTGTGAATTTGAAATTCATAGCTGTTTTCCATGATTGAGCCCATTAACTCCAAATTCTGTATATTGCACTGCACTGTCTGCCACTTCTCAAAAGCATATCTTAGCTGTTAGATTGATATCTTACCTTCCAGGGAGTCATTTGTTACAGTTGGTTCAGTACAACATGAACATTTAAATAGTGCAGAGTGAGAAGTCATCTGAAAGTTGTTTGAAAAAAAGAAATACATCAGTTGGATTTTTCTTTGTCAAAGTGTTATTATAATTGTGTGGTTATCCAGCTGTGAGCAGAGACTGTTTTAAAATTTCTTCCCTTTTATTTTGCCAGAGGTAACAACAACAACATGAATTCACAATTTTAGTGTCAGACAGAAACCATTTTAATACTTTCATACTAAACTACCAATTTCCCATCAATGTTGGTGTTATAGTATAAACAGTAAACTCTCAAAACTTCCAGTGTCCTTAGTAAATGATCAGCTTTAATGTAAACTACATGCTATTTGTAGTTAATTGGCTAAAACATGTAAAATCAGCATTAATGTCCCACAATTTCTGGCTAATGGTACTTTTCATGCCTAATTTATCCAAAATATTTGACATTCGATGTGTACTGACACCATGCGTCTGTCACTTCTTGCAGACGCCATGCTGTGAGCCCACCCCCTCCTCCACGGCCCCTCTCTCCTTCACACACATATGGGTACATCAGCAGCCCGCTGGCCTTGGACACTGACGGTTTGGAGGAGGAGGATATATTGGAGGAAGAGGAGGAGGACGGCGACGAGACAGACGCAGAGGTGGCCAAGATGCACTACCACCACACCCACCCCCACACACACCCTCACCATCCCCAGATGCATCCGCGAAGGTTGCTGCTACGAGGGCTCGAACAGACGCCTGCATCCAGCATGGGCGACCTAGAGAGCTCAGTGACCGGCTCTATGATCAATGGATGGGGGTCAGCTTCTGAAGAGGATAATGTCTCTTCAGGGAGGTCCAGCGCAGTCAGCTCATCAGATGGATCCTTCTTCACAGACGCCGACTTTGCTCAAGCAGTTGCTGCAGCTGCAGAGTATTCAGGCCTCAGGGTAGCCAAGTACCCCAATTCACAGGGCCAAGACGTCGGAGGAGCTTCAGGTAAAGCCGACTGCTTCCACAAGAAATGTTGGTGCAAGACTTTTGAGGAGTGGAAAAAGCAAACTGTTCTTTTTCTTTTCTCAGCACGAAAATACCAAATAAACCCGTCAGGCCACCGTCCTGGCAGCCCGGTGTCTACAGACAGTAATATGAGTATGGCAGCTGTACACAGGAGGCCTCCTAAAAAGCAGAAACAGCATCCTGCAGGTCATCCTGGGAGTCAGCGACGTGAAGCCTTCAATGAAGGTACATATATGATTACACCTAATGAAATTAAAATATGCTAGTTCAATATTCATGTTGTTTCGTGGAGATGTTTACCTGAACAATGAATACCAAGTCAACATAATTAAATGCAACCCTAGCAGATAAACAGATAGTAAAAGTAAGCCTGTCTTCAAATGCTGATGAAAAAGCTAGTCTTGACCTGCCGTAATTGTCCTCACAAGTCAAATTATACCTAATGAGGTAAGGAATTTCTGAATGTTTGACAAGCATAACATTTTTAATTAAAGCCGCAAGCGGCGATGGACGGGTCCTCGCCCTACGCTTGTCGGCCTTTGCGCATGGCGCAAACCTGCTCCGAGCAGGACTGTGATCCGGTATGTCGAGTTTGGGTCAGATCGGAGCAAGTGTGGCCTAGTTACGAGCCACTTCCTGTTTAGTGGCGAGCCGCGGCGGCGTGCGTGTTGGCCGGGGTGGAAACGAGCTCTGGCTGACATTCGGAGCACGCATGTAAAATTTCAGGCCGATTGGAGCACAGACACAGCACGTCTCCTATTCTGGTGTTTTATGGCATTGTGGCCGAATTCAGGGGGGCCCCATTTCCACGCCGTCACACTTGTGCGGACCGTTTTACTAACGTGTAATCACCACCGCTACACATGTGTGGCGAATGTCGTAGTTGTAGGTGAAATGTAGCCACAATGGGACTCTGTTGAAATATTGTACGGGGTGCAGTTGAGCCATGTTGCATTTTAGAGCTTGGAGCGGAGAGATATTTTTATTTGTGCCGACCAGCTCTATATGCTTACCAAATTGCGTATCTGTAGGTCAAACGTGCTTCCGATAGGACTTCATTGAAATTTTCAAGGTGGCGCTGTGGAGCCATTTTGGCAGTGACATGTCCAAGTCCATTAAAATATAAAATTTTTTGCCAGTCCTGATGTGGCGATTTTGGTGAGTTTTCGAGCATGCTTGGGCCCTCAAAATCGCGTTTCAAAAGTCGATAAAATAAAAACAAACAAAAATAAATAATAATAACAATAAATAATAATAATCACAACGGTTAAAATAGGGTCCTTGCACTGGTGTGCTCGGACCCTAAAAAGTCATACTATAGCATGTCGTTTTTGTCAAAAAAA